AAAAAAAAAAAAAAAAAAAAAAAAAAATGTATGTACATAATCAACATGTACGTTGTGTGGAGTATGAAGCTTCTGTGCAGAATTTTTTTTATCGATTCGGAACTGAATATTTTTAAATTTCACAAATAAATAGTATATTTCTAGATGTTTTTTGTATCGTTAATTACGAATTCGTAATTGAATTACAAATAGATATTGAATGAAATGGTTGAAATGTTTTAATTAGTTATAAAATGACTGTTACTTTGTAAATATTATTTTTCTCTGTTCCGAGAAAAATTGTAACTGAAACTTTTATTTTAGTTTTTAAGCAGAAACATTTAATCTTCTGTGAAGAGATTCAAGTTCTGGGAAATAGATCTGGAAACATTTTGGAATAGATATATTCCAAAAGTTGAAAGCTCGAATCGTTTGGTGAAATTCTATTTGTATATAATCACAAAGGAGATGAGGTTGTTTAATTTCTTAATTTATGCTAATTAAATGAAATTCTTAACTTTTCTTATAAAAGAATTAAAATGTTAATGTATCAAGTGATTCAGAAAATATTATATTATAAAATCAAAATATGTTATACTGTTAATGTTTAATGATAAAAGATAATAGTTTCAGTCAAGCCCTGATTATGAAACAGTTCACAAGTAAATATACCTAAACGAATAAACACACAGTGGAAACGCTGAAATATATGAAAAATATGAATGATACGAAAGATTACTCAATTACTCAATTACTCAAATTAAAAATTATCATCAATTACTCAAAGTTAGAAAAAGTTAGATTTTGTTGGTCCTCTGAAGATTAATCGTTTCAGTTCCTGAACGATTGTATTTTAACCGCATTCAGTACAGATCCGTTATATAATTCCTATATAATTTCTAGGTACCTCTATTTCAATTCGTTGGCCAGCTATCGACAAAAGTTTACGGATACATACTCTTTAAAGCAAAGTAAATACAACGAGCCAATAGTGTTCGAATCGAATTATAAGCGAGCAAGCCAAGCGGGTGTTCAAGCAACGTCGCAAAGAGGCGTAATATTTTTCCAATTAGTCCAATTAACGGCGGTCGCTTGTTGGAACATTGAGAAACCATTTACACCGGAAAACGTCGTGGTAATTGCTCAAGACGAGGAAACACTGCAGTACGTGAGTGGCATCAAAGTAATTACAAATAGACAGGGCGAAGAAGAATTGTGGTTCAACACAAACAGGTTACAAAAGACGATAAATATGACCCTGAAACCAAACGAAACGAACTTTCGTATAATCAGAGGGAAAGTCGATGATATTATCAAAGGGACGAACTGCGAATCTTCTGGCATAAAACGTAGATTCCCAGATACCAACTTCTGGCACCGGATATAAATCAGATAAATTGCATATCAAAAGCATCTCCTTTTCTATATGCTCTTACATAATGATTGCAAAATCATAGGGGCGTTAAAGATGTGCTTAATCTTCTCTGTAATGGGATTTGTACAGAATTGTAAAGCTTTTTGTACAGACGATATAAAATAACTTTCCTCCTAAAATTATTCCTAAAATAATTTTCGGCCGTTTAAGATATTTGATCATCTGAGTTCTCATACGTAATAATATTATAATAACGAGTAATAACTAATAATGAAACTTGGTAACTAATTTTACGTAATAACTGGTAATGACCACTGATAGTAGCTATTAGTTATATAACTAATATGTAACTTATGTGAAATAACATTTCCCACATAATCTCTTTACATAATACAAAATAATCTTTCCCATATAATCTTCAATCAATGTTTAAAACATTTGAGCATCTAGATCTTTAACGTAATAATATTGTAATAACAAGTAATAATACTTAGTAACTGATATTATAATAGCTAGTACTTACCTAATGATGTTGTACAAATTGTAGCTTGCGTGCTATTCTTCAATACAGTTCAATCGTAAGACAAGAGACTTTAGACCTTAGTTTTTAGCTAACCAGGCTAATGTAATTATATTCCGCGATCGAACTAACAATTGATTCTGTTAATTTTTGGATAACTATCGCTTCTACTCGTCAAAGGCCAACGACGTCTGAACACGGAGGAT